GGAGTATTCTCTATTCCCTCACTGAACCAGGCCTACCTCGAATGAAAGGAATAATTGATCTTCCGCAAATCCTTCACCAATTTGACCCTCTCGCACTCCAACACTTTCCACACTCCTCGTCACATTCACTTCCATTATTTTGCTAACAAAACTCTTTTCTAAGCCCCAATTCCTCCTTTAAAATTCTCCATCTCTAATTTCCCCAATAATCCACAATTGAATAATTCCCAGTTCTTCACTTCTATCCCTCACTAGATATCTCCTGCATCCACATGTATACAACTTTCCAAACCACCAAAGCAATCTTCCACGAGTCCACAGCAATCCATTCCCCCAAAAAAAAACCCCTTTGATTTTTATTGATTAAGTCGATTACATTTTTGAAGCTTTATACAAGGATAAGAAATATACCGGAGAATACTCAAAATAATTGAGTTTAAAAGGATTAAATATTTAAATGGTTATTTAGTGAGTTGAACTTCCATTTTATAGTTAAAGATTTGGGAGAGATTTAGTTGAATCACATTCTAAATAATTTTTTAGATTTAATTGTATATGAGATTAATATTAAACTATTTAAATTTTTTTTTTTAAACAATGGGAATTTTTCTTCGGAAGATGGGGAAGGGGGGACTTCAGATTAAACTCAAGTTCAACTAGTCCTAAGCACGTCCTACCTTACAGAGAGGCCAGTTGGCCTCCAAGTGCTGAACAAACTATTTAAATTATTAATTTTTTTATTTGAGATAAATATATTGGTCAAATTACTGTATTGGATAAAATAAATTAATCATGATATATCTACTTTTACGTCATAAACTTATTAATTAATGGATTTAACTTTTTATTATTATTTTCAATTCTAAATATTAAATTTATTGAAAAATATGTATGATCTTATAAGTTAAATTTAAAATTTAAGTTTTCAAATCAAAATCTTAAAAATTAATTTATTTAAATGCTTGAATACATCACGCCAATGTAAACCTACGTTATTAAGATAAACTAAAGAAGAATTTTTTTGCTTTAAAACGGATTTGAAAATGCTCCAACAATAGATGCTTAAAGAAAAATAAAATCTTTTTACGTCTAAGAAAGTGGGATAAAAATGATGTCTCACGAAAAAAAACTCACCCCTTTTCTGGGCACTGTACTCAAAACCCAGTATGATTTTTGACAAGGGTAAAGTAATTTTATATTTTGTGATAAAAAATCATAATTAATGGATTTTTTTGAATAAAATGAAATTATTTATATATTAATTAAGAGAAGAGAAAAAAAAAATTTGTAAAACTTGAACACACAATCGATAAGAGATGAATGAACCTGACTTAAGATCCATGCAATTG